CAGTAACAAGCTATTTTTCATATAGTTCGATCTTCATTAACTACCCCAAAGATAAGGCCTTTCACCACATTGATGCAAGTTTTTTTTATGTTCTTCAGTAACAATAACAAAAAAACTCTCAGCCTTCCCTAACCAGGATGTAGGAGATCGTCGTGCTTCAGTTTTTAATTTTTCTTTGTTATCTATGAATTGCTATGATTTCTTGAGAAAGAAAGTGAAGTAATTTACTGTTGTCTTCTATTTGGTTTTGCATTCGAAGTAGTTTTTCTTATAGACCGGCTGCCAACGAAGATTAGAGAACTCAGTCTAGCTTTTTATTTAATCCATAGTTGAGATTAAAAAAAAATGAGATGGATTCACACTTTTTCAAAGAGCAATGTGTAAGAGCGAACACGAAGAACTAGGCCGGAATTTGAACTCAGCTTGCCAATTAGACTTACATTCTTTAACTGTGTTAAATTATCCCCATAACTATGCAAGGTGTCCATAAAATCTCTTTACAAATTAAAAAAAAATATTACAAAGGCAACTGATAAGATATCTTAATCAGACTTATTCTATGTACTCAGTAATTGTCAAAGTTTTTAATCACTTTAATTTGTGCATTTCGGGTATCCTGTTCATGGAAGAAGTACTCTTAAATGAACCCCTTAAACTTCCAGACCGGTGGATTGGTAGGAATTGTCTAATTCCCTGGCCACCTCGTTCACAAAGTATCACTCCACTGGATTTCTTTCAAGTAAGGATTATGTTAAAGATATCATGTAGCGAACTGTTGGGTAAATAATACACTCCTGATGACTATAGGAACTAGTCCATAACTATAAAGGCTCAGGTCAAGGCAAGAGAAGTAGTCGCATCTCCGTCAGGCAATTCACAGCAAGGTTTGCGACAGACTTGTCGAACTCTCTGTCGAAAGGCAGAGAGGAACCCAGACGAGGCTATGCCGAAGAGTAGAATCTCGTCTGGGGAGGTACACAAACCCAGTTTCCTGTATGCAATGGTCTACGGGGAATTCTTGCCCGAACCTACGGGCTCAGAATCTCCACATGTAAAAATCGGCCTTATACCACATCCTGCCTTGTGGGGAGGTTTGATAAATACCAGCCGTTTCAAGTCGGGTAATTGAATGCCAGGTTTGTGATATACTTGTCGAATTCTATGCCGAAGAAGAGAATATCGTCTGGGGAGGTAGACAAACCCGATTCTGAGTATGCGGGGTCTAAGTTGAAATTTGGCCTAAGCCTGCCGGCTCGGAATCGCCCCACGTAAAAACTGTTCCTTTGCCACATCCTGTTTGGAGTCAGTCTTCAGACTAATTAATACAGGCGTCATGGCAAGTGCGCGAAGCATTACTTATATTATAACCGCTACGATGCGCGTTGTAGCAGTAGCGACACGACATTCGAAACTCAGGCGATTTAAAACCGTTGTGACGAGGATTCGGAACTCTTAGGACTTAGAGCAGTAACGAGGATTCAGGAACTCATATGATCTATAACAGGAATTACAAGGATTTTGGAAACTCATACCGAGTGAAGAAGTTCGAAAAAATATACTTGTTGCTTCGGAAACATTGATAAAGGTGACGACAAGAATTTTAATTTCAACCACGTTGGTTTAACTTTTTTTCTTGTGAAAAAGAAAAAACAACATATTCTTGTGATTCTGGAGCAAATTTTGGCTTCGATAGTTGAAATTCAACAACAGCAGCAACAACAACAGAAACAGCAACAACTACAAAATCAGCAGTTGCTAGGACTTCCAAAACAGCAACTGAAGTTGGATATAATTCTGAAGAAAACAAATTCTTCAACGTCGCTTATGCGAGACGCTGTCCAAAATACCATAACAAAATTTGTATACAGTCCTGATGAGAGACTGACATTTTCATAGGCTGGAAAGATGCGAGAAAAACGAGATTGTTGTTGAGGAAAATAGCTCTGATAGAGTATGAAAATACTGCAAATATATATTACCAAAAACAACAACAACAACAAAAAAAACAAAACAAAAAAAACAGGTGAAATCGGGTTTGAAGATACACTATACATTCTGAAGAAAGTCTTCAGTGACAAGAGTTCTCTGTTTCATGCTCGTCGGAGGCGCATGAATCTAACTAAAAAAAGAGAACTATGGTCACTTAGGTTGGTATAATCAACAAAGAACATGAGAAGTTTAGAACAAAGGAAATGACTTCAGATATTTTAAAGGGTTAATTTCCGTTCAAGTTTAACCAGCTAAAAATGATGCTGAAATACGAGCACAAATTGTAAAGAAAATTGAACAAAACAGTAATATTACAGTGCAAGAAATTGTGGACGAATGCCAGACAATTCTAAGTTTGAAACACGATGCTGAAGAAGTTCAGAAAAAAAGAATGTGCATTGGTACCATCAAAGGACAACTGTACAAAAAGAAGAATAAATCCTTGTTTCTGATGTGGTAAATGACAACTTGGAAAAGATTGTCCATTTAAAAATACAGAATGTTACAAGTGTGGTAAATAAGAACATATAAAGTCACATTGCAAAAAAAAATTCTCACAGGAAAAATTTCGTATACAGTATTGGGACGGGAAAATGGTCACAGAAAACAAAAGGAAATTTGTGAACGTGCGAATAAATAATTTAGGTGTGAAAATGCTACTGGACACTGGTAGTGATATTTCAATAATCAGGGAAACCACATAGAAGGAAATTGGTAACCCTTTATTAAAAAAAACTTCCAAATCCGTGATTTCAGTTTCTGGTGAGAAATTTTCTTTGAGAAATGACCTGCAACGTCTCATTCCGTAATAAGCTTGTAAAAACTAAAGCTCATTTATTAAAAAATATGCTACGAACTTATTCGGTACTGACTGGATGGAACTATTTGAACTTTGCGATTTGCCAATAAATGTTTATTGTAAAAACGTAAATGGACAAGCGATCAATTTGAAAAGTCAGAATGAAAATCTTCAGGAAAAATTTAAAAAATCTTTTTCAGATTTTCTGTCAAATGCACTAGGTCGGTGTTCGAAATTCAAATAAAAAAGATTCGACGCCAGTATTCAAACTGAAACGCAGTATACCATTCGCAGCATTGGGACAACTCAATGACAGAGAAAAATTACAACCAGATAGAAAAAGAGGATCTAATAATGATATTCTCTGTGAAGAAATTTCATAAATTTATTCCTGTAAGAAATTTTAGGTTGCAAACAGACCACAAACCTATATTAACAATATATTTTTCAAAGAAAGGAATACCTACGCACACAGCTAATAGAGTATAACGCTGGAGTACCATTTTATTAAATTGATTTTATGATGGAGTACCAACAGTCTAAAAAATTAGAACATGCAGATGGATTATCAAGATTAATACCTAAAAATGTACAACCATTTCAAGACACGGTCATTGCAGCATTAAAAAGCGAAATGGTAATAAAAAACGTTTTGTGCAACGTAGTACGAGAGTTACTAGTTACCCTGGAAGAAATAAAAGAAAAAGCGGAAAATGACGTTTTTATCGCGAAAATTCAAAAGCAATTGAGAGAGAGTAACAAAGAGCGAAATCCAAACTTAAACGCTTACTCACTATGCAACAGTGTAGTAATGTTCAGTCAAAGGGTTATAATACCGAGTGTGTTACAAAAGCGAATATTGAAGGATTTTCATAGCCGACATTATAGTATTTCAAGAATTAAATCTGTGATGAGAAGTTTCGTATATTGGACCAGACTAGACCAAGATTTTGAAAAAAATAGTGAAAGCTTGCAGAGGTTGTGCTCTAGCAACAAAAAAAGTGACACTTATTTCCTGCAACTAGTAATCAATAGAAACATAACCGAACAGCTTTAAATAAAGAATAATACAGGTATAATTTAATTATAATAGGTAATATAGTTCGAAATATTTAATAATCTATGGGTCCTCCTTTATTTTGAATAATCTTTTCAACCCTTTTTAGCATTGACTTGATTAGGTTCTGGCAAATCTCATCTCCAAGCATTGAATTCCAATCGGATATGAAATTCACAATCAAATCCTCTTTATTGTTTATCAAAGTATTCCTTCATCAATTTTGATTTGTGATAGGGAGCATTACCTTGCATAAAAATGAGCTTGGTAGTGACGGTGTTAATAAGACTGTGCTTGATGTAATACAACAGACCTATTAAGTATATATTAATAAATATACATATTATCCCTGACTGCTAGCAATACTCGGAACTTCATGGACAAGGCAATCTTCAGAAGTCGTGTTAGCGGTGAGGGATAATATGCTTATTTTTTAAATATATATATATATATATATATATATATATATATATATATATATATATATAAAAAACCATGTGTGTAACTTGTAGAGCGATAGTAAATGTGCAGAGAAGCATGATGTGTCACGCATAAACCAAGCATGAAAGAAAACGACTCAACTATATCTGGTGACACCCAACATTCCTCAGCTCTACTTAGGTCGTGCTTTGTTGTCCTGACATAACTATTGAAGATAATGACTTAATTAGCAAATATTCTTCTTGATCAGGACCTTTTTTTTTCTCCTCATTGTTCATATCAAACTAGCATAGAAGTGATTTGTTCAAACGATGATGAATACTACTAGTGAACACTAATAAGTTAAAAAACAGAACTATTTATTACACTGTGATTCTGATCTCGCGTGAACTTAAAGAAAGACCAATTGAGTGAATTTGGTTTGATTGATTGATTAGTTTTTTTACGGCTTATCAACCCCTTGTAGGTTATTTAAAGCTAGTAAATATTTTTAGATCGAAAAATCGTTTTTTTTTTATTTGGGTCGGGGTAATAATTATTTAGTTATACAAGCCTTAATAATTAACCCAAAGCTGTGGAGAGAAGAGATGTATTCATACCTTTCCCAAGAATATTTGCGCTTAAGTGAATATAACGAACCCAACTGGAATTGGATCTCGGCTCTTCGATTAACAATTCTGAGCCATTATCCATTAAACCACCCGCACATCCAAGCTTACAGCACCTGGTATTCCTAAGCTGTCACCCATTTAGGTTCTAACAAGGTTTGACGTGTCTTAACTTCGGTGATCATACGGGAACTGGTGTTTCAACGTTACGTGGCCGTAAGCCTATCAGAATTTGAAGTTGCTTGCTTGGTTGGTTGATTTTGTTTAGCGTCATCTCAATTTCTATTGGTTATTTAATGCTGAAATTTAAATATTTTGATCACAATTTTATGGATTTCAACTACAAATAAAATATATTATTCGTCATTTTTATCAGAATAGTATTACTAGTCATTTTGCTCTAACAATGTATTGTTGGTAATTTTATTATAAATATATATTGTTCATTTTTAATATAAAAATGTATTACTGGTATTTTTATTATAAAAATGCATTTTTATACTTTTATAGTGATTTGTTTTTGTTTGGGGGTTCAGTAATTGCCCATAACTGGATTCTAACACATGCTACCATCCCAGGTCGGAGTAGGCCTGGGACAACATCAATTAAGAGGTGAATCCACGTTCCTCAAATCCTCCAATTTCCCGATCAGAGACCTTACTGCCAGATGTAGTTTATCGTCAAACCCAGGACGAGCCTATCTCTTGTCGAAGAAGCTTGCGTTCTTCCCCGCCCCCCAGCACCAGTGGTCGGTGATCAAATCCAAGTAAAATATTGGGATTTCGAATAATGAATTTTAAAGTCAAGCCCGAATTGCTTGCTTAAAATATTAACGCAACCAAATCTTTTTTTCTTAAAGTCTACTCCCATTAAATAAATGAATAAACAAATGACACTTGTCAGCTTAACGTTCTTTATTTATTTTGTGATCCTTATAAAAAAAAGGGGGGGAATGTTAATTACAAGAAGCTAAAAGAATTTTACGCTGAGTTGATATAATCGTGAAAGTGTTCAGCTAAAGGGAGCAGTTTTCTGTCGAAACAGATGAGCGCCGAATGGATCTCTTACGTTCAGATTTCCGAAGCCTCTCTTTACACCGAGCTTCACTTATTAAACAATTTTAATACGTAGATGACATTATGTTTATTGCAGACACAAAATGAAGACTACAGTCCCTCCTAGACAAAGTAATGAAGACACGAGAAAGCGATTAAATATAAGTATCTGTCTATATTTCTGAGATGAGGTAGTATGTACACTATTTACATTATTCGGACTATCTTAGTTCCTGTCACTGGATCTAGCTAGCGCCTTTATCTACTGTGCCATGTGTCCTTGAGTGTGAGTTCAATACCTGTTTAAGGCGGTGGAGTACTTGGAGAGGGGAATTAACAGGGGAACTGATAGCTGACATCCATTAGACATGGCACGTGGAACTAGAACAGTCTAATAAAAAAATGAAATAAAGAGGTCCAGTTCGACATTCCAACCACCTGAAGAAGGCCGGAGCGTACAACGGCCGAAACGTTGTGATAAACATGTCGACAAAGATGAGGACAATAGTCCGAATAATGTAAATAGTGTTTAAATATTAATTGTAAGAAGACAGAATATATGGTTGTCAATAAAAGAAAAACATTCAAGATGCAAACTACGAATTGGGGATGTCAAAATCAAACAAGTAGAGAGGTTTAAATAACTGTATTATAACAGACGATGTAAAATGTGACAACGAAATCCGAGGTGCATTGGAATAGCAAAAGATGCATTCCAAAAACTATGCAAAATAATAAAAAGCAATGTTGTGGGTATGACGATAAACAACATACGGCATCAAGGCCTCTAATTGGGAGGTTTTGAGGAGCGTGGAACCACCTCTTAACGGCTGTTGTTCCCAGGTCCACCCTGACCCGGGGTGGTAGCACCTGTTAAGGTCCCAACTATGGGAAAATAGTGAACTAACAAACAGAGTCAAAAATGGAGTACTGTTGTGATATTTGGGTGGGAGTTGTCCAGACCTTACTCCCCAGGCTTGACAGAGTTCAAAAGCGTCTCTTGTCTTGTGGGTGACGAATTATTCTCCACCCTCCAGCCTTTCTCTCACAGGCAAGCACCTCGCTGCTCTATCGCTACTTCAACGGAAAGTGCTCGGACGAACTACATTCCCTCGTCCCACCGACGAAACTTTCTCAGTAAGAACAGGCCATGCCACTTACATAGTAGCGAATCGTTCACATTCCCTTCGTATTTCACCGGTGAGAAGTAGGATGCACGCAAGCAGTTTTCCCCTCGGAACCGATTCCCAACTGGGTGTTTTCCCGATCACTACACTCTTAACCTATTCAAGACTAGTGTTATCTTCCACTCCTATACACACAAACAACCTCCAGATGCCACCCTCTACCTCGAGTGGCCCCCGGGGCTTGGAAAAGGTAAACCTCGCTGTAAAAAAAAAAGATACATTTTTATAGTAAAAATACCAGAAATATATTTTCAGAACAAAAAAAATTACCAGAAATACATTTAAAGAAAAAAATAATTACCAAAAATACATTTTTAAAGAAAATTATTAATGCTCGCAAGAAAGTTAAATTTCGGCATTAAATGACCCTTAAGGAGTTGATATGCCGCTAAACAAATAAACAAAGAAGCATGACATTTTCGTAAGAAACAAAAAAAAAAAAAAAAAGAAAAGAAAAAAAATGAAAAAAAAAAAGTAAAGAGCGCTGAAGTGTTATGCAATATCAATTCTCCTTCATAGCTGTGAATGCTGGATAATTTCCACACAGTTGAAGATAAAACTAGATATAACTGAAATCTGGTTCTACAGAAGGATACTGAGAATGCTATGAACAGAGCGCGTAAGCAACGAAGAAGTTTTCAGGAAAATTGAAACAAATGGAAACGCAGAATCAGAAAGAGTCAACTGAAATTTGTTGAACACCTAATGAAAAAAGAGGGATTAGAAAACCTGACACAGTCAGGACATATCGAAGGGGATCGAGAGAGACGGCGGGCCATCTTTCTGACCAGTTCGGGTTAATGGATGACGGAACGGGGTTGGGAGGGATAGCAAAAAGACAAACGTTGCTAAAAGCTACAAGCGTTAAGAAATAGTGGAGAGACATGATCGCGTGCGTCCCGAAAGGACACGGCTTATAGAAGAAGAAAATTTTCTTCTAGTTTTTAGATTTCCAGAAATTTGACTTTTTAATATGCAGGAACTTATATATATATAAATTATAGTAGGCTACATGACTCTTGCATTTATTTGATTTGATTTTACAATTTACATGTTAATAGCGAAATTACTGATTAGTGAACAGTTTTGTAAAAAAATTGTAATTATTGAACGTGCGCAAAATTGTAATTATTGAACGTGCGCAAAATTGTAATTATTGAACGCGCGCAAAATTTACAAAGTCAAGGGTTTCAACCAAAACAAAAATCAAAAATAGTGTCGTAGTAATAACGACAAAGTTATAAGCACCCTTGTGTGAAATAATTGCTTCTTGTTTTGAAACTGATTTGAAGTCGTTCATTGATTTTGTGAGTTTTGTTTCTTCATATGAGTGCAGAGCCACAGAATAAAATTCCAAAATAACCCTCCTCTTTCGAAAAGCCCCACGAATTTTCAATATAGCTTTAGTCCGATGAATAAGTTTATCATTTGATCATGTCTGAAACATTCTATTCCGGTGTACATTAGTTTTCTTCGCATAATGTGAATTTTGTATACATATATTTATATTTATATATATGTGTGTGTGTGTGTGTGTGTGCGCACGCGCGCGCGTGTGTTTGATTATTGATATAATAAAAAAGAACAGTTAGATTAATAATCCAAAGTTCTTTAGTATTTCTGATTACACCTCCAATTCCAATCTATAAATGAGTAAAACATTTCATCGGTTAGTTATTCTAAACATCGCTTGAGAATGAAACTGTGCTCTAAATTTAAATTTAAATTTTTTAAATTAAACTTATGACTTGAATTTCAGTTTCGAAACACAGCAATTTCTGTGTCGGGATGGAATCGTATTTTTAAAAAGAATAATTATATATATATATATATATATATATATATATATATATATATATATACAGAGTGTGTCAAAAATACTTTTACTAACTTTGGGGGCGAGTTCGTATAAATATATGTATGCAAATCCTTCGTTTCGAGTTATTATGTTTAAAGTTTACGATAGACGTTATATGTACAATCCAAGATACAAAAATACATTTAAAAAGGTTTTCCAAATGATACGGATATAGGAGATGCTCTTGAAGCGTCCTCTATGCTGTACTATGAGATGTACGACATGCTAGGGCCACTTGATGTGTGTTGATACCGGGATCGTCTCCGACGGCCTGCAGAATGTGCTCTTCATGGCCAGGAGTATGAGCGGATTTCGGTCTTCCTCGATTCATAATTTCTGGTGTCACGGATCCTTTCTCGGGAACAGCACAATAAACAGCAGAAAAGGTTGGATGACCCAGCGGCCTTCGGTCTGGAAATCTGACATCGCCGTGCAGCCTCGCGTCCATTACCATTCGCGTGGCCATATGTAAAAATCATATCTGCCTGCTCACGATATGAATATGCTGCCATTGTTAAACGGAAGACTTCTCAGTTAACTCACTACTACACACGTTGAACGTTGAAGAGAGACTAGCCACAAATGTACACGAATTACAAATGTAACCTAGTCTCTATGGGAACACAGCGCCATCTACAGTTGACTTTCTTTAAACCTAATAACTAAAAAACGAAGGATTTGCAGGCATATGTTTATATGTACTTTTCTCTTTGTTTTGGTTTGAGGAATATTCCCACCGCAAAAGTATTTTTAATACACCATGAATATATATAAATATATGTGTGAAAATCATTCTCGAAGCTGAAGTGTGCAGAAGTTAGCGTCCAGAATATTCCTCACAAAATTGAACATTATCTGTTACTTCATTACACGTGACAGATATCTAGCCAATAAAAAATAACCAACCACAACATACCATTAATCAGCGTCTCTTTGCTTTTTATCATTAAACATTAGATTATCGTTAAATATGTTAGATTGCGACCTGAGATCTGTTTCCTACTTGTTCTTTTTCCTATCATATATATATATATATATATATATATAATATATATATGTGTATGTGTGTCATCATGAAAGCGACATGACACGATAAAACAAGGAGACACAAAACAAAA